TTCAAAGATTCTATCAGTGGATTTACCAACAATATTATGCATACACATATTCATCTTTAAGTGAACAATACTTTGAATTGCATCATTTGTCTCATATTAATATTAGCTTTAATGTTTACAAGATCATCCCAAATGTTGTAAGGTTCAATGTTATCCAAAAGTGATGGTCCTCTAGGTATTCTCTTCCTAGGCTTAGTAGTATTGTCTACCACTATTTGGGGTATTTACTCAATTATTTCTATTGGTTCATTAATTATTTGAGATCGAGTTCGTCTAGTATTAGTTTCTCTTTGCGATTCTGATCTCTTCTTCCTAATCGCTGGGTAGACTTCTTGTTTAAGTATATTTACTTCCTTTCTATTTTGGTTACTATTTCTGATTCTCCAGTTATCTTGTGGTAAACCTTTTCTGAGAGACATCATCTGGCTATATGACCTTTTTCTCCACATCTGAAACAGATTAATTTCTTCCTTAGTTTGCCTTCAGGATTATAACTCTTTCTTTCAGCTAGATTAGTAGTCAATGCAGCTATAATGTTTACTTAATTCAGAGCCATTTGTTTGAATTATTTGGACAATTTTCAATGTCATCTTCAACTTTTGGCTTGCTAAAATCATGGTCTGTTGCATAATATCTTTCTGCTTCAATAGTTTTAGCTTGAGTAATGGTAGCATCTAAATTAGCTGGATTTTGAATTGCAACTAAGGTTGCCAATTCCTTATTTAATCCACTCAAGAACATTCGTACTTTAAAGGCGTCTGGAATTCCTCCTGCATCTACTCTATTTGCTAACTTCTTAAATCTTGATGCATAGGTTTCAACCTTTTTATTTTCTTGTTTCAGATTCATTAGCTCATATTACCATCTATGTAATTTTTTTTGCGATGAGAAACGTGCTAGAAATCTTTTCCTAAATCCTGTGTTTGCATCTCCATCTCATTTGTTAATTGTAGTGCTTACTAGATTATACCAATCAGCTGCTTCTTCCCTTAACATTCCTGTTGCAATTGCTACTCTTCTATTGTTTAGCCATCTATTAGCTTCTTTCACTCTTAAGAACATTTTAATCCATTCTTGAGCGTCTTCGCTATCTTTTCCATAAAAAGGGTTGACTTTTACAATAGAACTTCCTGCTGTATGTGGTGCTGAAATATTAATACTATTAAATCCGTTGGTTATACTGGTTGTAATTTACATTATTAACGTATTGAGTTGGTTTGCTATCATAGCCATGTTTATAAGGTTTGGTGGAGGGATTTCTCTGTAAGTAAAGTAGTTAATGTTATGTGAGATGATAAGAATATGTTGATATATTACTTCTGGTTCAAAGTAATATGTGAATCTAAGGCTAAATACTAAAGAGATTGCTGCTTTTGCTGCTTGTTCAGTATCAAGACTACAAGGATTATTAACGTCAAAATACTGTCCTATTTCTTCAAAGTATTGTTCACTTAAAGATGAATATGTGTATGCATAATATTGTTGGTAAATCCACTGATAGAATCTTTGAA